TCCGGTATACCTGGGGAACATAGCCCCTATGATCCATATTTCTATTAAAATTATGTCTCTGGTGTTCTAATTTCTGTTTTGCTGTCATATAAATGTCATACGTAACAGTTTTTCCCCATGCTTATTCTCTTATTAGACTGATTTCTAAATATTGATATTGGGTGCAATGTCATTGTCGATGTTTACCCAATGTTCCTACTGTGTCCCATTATTAGTATAGTAGTATGAATTAGTAGCACGATTTTACCCAGCGCAGCGGGTACCCGCAGCTAGTATATATATATGCGTATAAACACGCACACAGGCACGCACGCACGCAAGCACACGCACACACACATACAAACGAGCCAAAAACAATACCCTCTGCTACACTTTGTGCGGAGGATAAATAGGAAACTTGTTTGTAACAGCGAAATGGAATCGGTCATCTAGTTGTCGATCTATACACACTGTGTATGCCTTATACGTCCACGTTAGGTTACTTTTAGGTGAGGCTCATTTATGCAGCCTAGGATTTCAGATGTACTCATTGTACTAATTGTATAATAATTGTATAATTGTGTTGTGAATATGAGCTATTGATGAATGGATGAAATAAAGTTATCACGGAATATATTCTAGTTATGATCAACCCAACAAACTATAAGCTGTCACTTTGGTCAAACAATATGGAATTCACGGGCTATCAAGACTGTATGGGCTATCAAGATGATATGTTTTGTATATATAAATAGCTATATGTACACAAAACAAAGACAAGTTTTGGTTGTCATAAAGCACAAAGCTGCACAAACAATAAACCGACCAGGCTCTCCGACGGTTACACGGTGTTGTTATCTATCGCCAACATAGTGTTAAGCGAGAAGGGAACTTGTGGCTACACAAACAAAAGCCTCAGCTATAACACACACCGACAATGTTTGAAAATCGGATCTTGATATCTATTATGTTATTTATCTATTATGAACAAAGGCATTGGTGTTTTAAGCCTCGTCTACACGACGAACCTTAACTCGAGGTTAGCGATTATGTAGCGTCTACACGACAACACCCGATAGCGATTATTACCGATTTATTATGCATGCGTGCGTGCGTGTGTGAGTGTGTGCGTGCGCGCGTGCCCAGGTACACGTTCGTGAGTTCGTGCGTGCGTGCGTGCGTGTGCACGTACACGTGCGTGCATGTGTGCGTGCGTGCATGAGTGTGTGCGTGCGCGCGTGCCCAGGTACACGTTCGTGAGTTCGTGCGTGCGTACGTGCGTGTGCACGTACACGTGCGTGCATGCGTGAGTGCGTACATGTGCGTGCGTGCGTCCGTGCGTGCATGTGCACGTACACGTACGTGCGTGCGCGCGTGTGCACGTACACGTGCGTGCGTGCGTGTGCACGTACACGTGCGTGCGTGCGTGTGTACACGTACACGTGCGTGCGTGCGTGTGTGCAGATACACGTGCGTGCGTGCGTGCGTGCATGCATGTGCACGTACACGTGCGTGCGTGCGCGCGTGCGCACGTACATGTGCGTGCATGAGTGTGTGCGTGCGTGTGCAAGTACACGTGCGTGCATGCGTGTGCACGTACACGTGCGTGCGTGTGCACGTACACGTGCGTGCATGAGTGTGTGCGTGCATGTGCGAGTACGCGTGCGTGCGTGTGTACGTACATCGTACTAGTGCTGCCGCCTATCGTGGAGGTTAAGCTAACTCGAGAGGTTCGTCGTGTAGACGTAGCTTTAGTTTTCATTAAAATCAAAAGGAAGCACAAGCAAAAGCATCGACTATAACACGCACCGACATGTTAAAAAATCGGATTTTTTTAAATCTATTGTTTAGATAGATGTTTAGATATGTTGGTATTGAACAGTAAATACCGATATGTAGCATAAATGAACCCCAATTAAACTGTATAGTAAGTAACGTTAAAAGCTGAAGCCAAACTAACATAAAATGTTACAACGGTAGGACCTATAACAACAATAGCGGCAGCAGAAGTTATACCAGCAATAGCAGTATTAGTAGCAGCGGTGGCTGCAGAATTGATATCAGGAGTAGCCTAGTAGGGGCAGCAGAGGTTATTTTCGAAGTAGCAATAGTAATAGCAGCAATGTCGCAGGCACTCTGCAGGATTTGTTAATTACGGTACTTGTTGTTATCCCTTCACAATTTCGTCTTAAAAATAGCCGTGATTCTCAATTCATTTAGTTACCGTGAAAACGCTATTTGCACTGATAATTAAATAGCAAATCTCAAACGTGACTATCTGGCTATAAACGTACACAATGATCATGAACAACATTAACTCATACTTTACCTTGATGCCGACTGCCATAAAAAGCAAGAAAGTTGCATGCCGCGTCAAGGATGCGAATGCTGTTCCAAAATTGGTCCGAAATGAAATACAATTCCTCAATATTTTTCAATTGATATATTCAAACAAAACAACAAGGTTCAGGACGTACGAAACCAAGTATCAAATTGGTGTCAAAAAGTTAGAAAACGTGATTCAGGATAACTCGTGATTACAATACGATAAAGGTCAGGCATATAGTTTTTAAAAGTAGGAATGTTCTGACAACCGTTCATGAGGAATAGATATATGCCCAGTCAAAGTCAATAGACTAAATTTACAAACATTCAGGTACGTTTGGGAGCAGATGTCGGAGAAATGTTCAATGAAACGGTGAGTCACATATGAGGAGGAACTCGTGTCAATTTGACGATCATTTGATTTTGAGAATGAATTAATTCTACCAAATACTACACAGGCACCCATGATAATACCGCCTCTGAACCGAAGCGCATGCGGAACAGAAACCATTACAGTGGTTCACTGCCAAGTTGATCTGTCAAAATGTGTTGGCTGCACACTGTATAAATAACGTCCACAAAAACATTTTTGGTCACTTTCGCTTCCTGCGTGAGGGTTCACTTAGCATCCCGTTAGCTTGTATATTTTCTTAATAACGCAATGATAACAATGAAAAAGTTCAAGCTCTATCTGTATGTATTGCATTTATATTTGCCACGAGTGTGTGCATGTTTCTTTTCTAAGAGCAGGGCTTTCACTTGGGAAAACGTTTGGGTGTTTACAGAATGACAACATTGCAGATCTCAGACCTGAGCGTAACAGTGCAATTTGGCTAATTTTTCACCTTGCATTTATCGTGCAGATGTTCGTGCTAAGGTCGGTCGCCCCAAACCCGTGCAACTCCACAAAAATTGTTTTACATGGGACTGAATGCCGATGCAGTCACTGAAAATTCCAACATAGAAAAGGTACATACAGGCACTTGTGCCAGGTCAGGTGATTTGATATAAGGCATGCAACCAACATCACCACCTGCACATCTACCTGACAATTTTTTAACGACTTATAAACACAGATGATAAATGTCTAGCAACCAAAAATATCACTGCGTTCACACTCGAATTCCTAACTAAATATTTATCGTGCATCTCATGCTTATTAAACCAGCATCCTACAGTGTAACACAGTTCACCTATAAATATTGTGCCGTCAAATTATAACAGACCGTTTATGATGTGAATTACTGCAGCACAGTGATTAAACGAACGTTAAAATACATTTCCTAGCCACGTGCTTCACAACTTGTCGTCACGATATTTTTTTTATCTATAACGATATTGTACACTATTCTGTACGTGCTCTTCCGTAACACGTTAATTTTCTATACTGCACTACAATAGCAATGTTTCTCTGACCACAAGATCCGTCTCTTGTCACGATGAGGTTTCACATGCGGAAATCTTCCTATAGGCAACATTATTTCCCGCAGTACATTCAATGACGGATCATAAACGATGTATCATACCATCAGAGGTAGAGAGTCTAACCTAGTCCTGATACCATGATACATGAATTTGGGCAAAAAGCGTGAATCGTAGCATGTTTTGCACAAAGGCATCCACGCTTTATCATGCATCCCTCACATTCGACAAATTGGGGGGAGATAAAGGGAGTTTCTTGTGGGTTTTTACACAAATGAAGCAATACAAACATACAATGTATTGTAGAAACTGCTTCTTATAATGAAAGCTTGATGGCATCACTGAGGGCAAAGGCCACGACCGACATGCATGTCTGCGTACTCGACAAAGGAAATTCACCCCATGACATTGTCAACTTAGTAAAGGTTCATACGCGACAACAATGTACAAAAAAACAAGGTCTACTGGTGTCTACTGGTGGTCTTTCTCTTAAACCTTTTGAGAGACATACCAGAAGACAGTACACTATCAAAATTAGAGATCGAGCATCTGACGGCTATACAAATGTATTACAATAACCCATCTGCAATTCAGAAAAGTCCAGAAATGCACGGGAAGGCGCGATGTCTGATAACCCACGGCAGCGACGTCAGTAGCGACTACTGCATGTTGAGGACTGCTGATGCGTAGCTGACTGATGAATCATTCAAGCTGGTGCACTGACTAGACTGTGCGTACTTGAGGAATCTCAGCGTCTGTCTCTGTCCATTAGTGTTGTTACGACGCAATGTATCAAGGGCCTGCATAAAATGGGAGGTGAACGTGTACAAGAGTCACCATAGTATTTCTTACATCACAGCTCATCAATGGCCTGAATGAAGCATGACTAGAAAGACGGCGTCAAGAAACGAGCATGCATGTATTGCACGACCTGTATAGACGTTTACTTTAGTCTCACAGCTGCATCAGAATACAAGACAGAAGAAAATGTCTGTACATCTGTCAATGATAGGCAGCTGTTGTGTTTGTGTGAGAGCATGCATATTTGCACAAGGAGCAATTAAAACGTCTCTAAGAATATTTTTACGCAACTTTTCAAGGCGATCACGAACAGACGTGGTTGGTTCATACTGAGGCACTTTTTTCAAGCTGATGTGTCTCGAAACTTACATTAAGTAAGACTCCAATAGGGTGTCTTCCACATATAGTGTTTTGGTAGGTTTTCAGGTAGTCTGCAAAGCCAGTTGGATTGATCTTCTCTATAAAGTCCATTCCCTGTGAACACATGATAAAAATAATATTGTAGTGTCAAGGTGTAGTAAGTGTATACCATAACAACTAGTAAAATAAACTACTGCTCAGCAGTGTTATATATTAACAGGTAATTATTGATGAATACTACAGATGTACTGTACACTACGGCTTGCTACCAAATTTCTCAGTAAGGGTTCTCACCATTCTGTCAAGATGCTCGATGGACTGGTAGATCTCTCCACGGGACTGGTCATAGTGTGTATACCTGAATCTTCTGCCTGTAAAACTTGCAGCTGTACATGCCTGATATATGCTGTCGTTTCACTGTCACCACTCAAATTTCTCAGTGATTTATCAACAACGATTGTTGTTTAGAGCAATATAGACGAAAACGTACCTCACAATTGTCACTACACTCACCCCAGTGGCAGAAATCCGAGGAGATGACGAATAGGTTTTCAGGATTGGCAAGGTAATGAGCAAAGATCTCCCCATACTCCTGTTCACGCTCCACAGGCAGAGATCCGACGAGCACTGGCACAATAGTGAATAACCCCGCATACCTGCCAAGTGCCCGAAAATGATGGTTACTAATATGTTAGTACCACATTCAATTCCCGATACTTTCGAGAATAAGCTGGCTTCGTTAAATTATACTTAGACTCATATCTCGTAGGTAAGACCTATGGTATCACGGACCGTGATTCTGTGGACTTTTAATGGGCAAACCACTCCGATCCACCAGAACTGACCTTAAACAAATATCATCTGAGACATGTCACCAAACAGCTCTGCCATGCAAAAACTATATATATCGAGTAGCATAACGATTTCTTGCATGCCACTCTAACAGGCACAACGTCCACTCAACTAGAACTGGCTTGGCAGGGTAAGGGGTCATTGTCCCCCAGTAAGGCAATGCTCTATGAAACAAACGTCCACGCACATCAACTTTGGAAATTAATCAAACAAAGTAAGAACACAAATTCCCATTGCTGAATATTCCCAGATCAAGCCTCACAAAAACCAAACCTGGATTCCTCTAGAACAGCCCATGATTATACATTGACGATTGCATTGTTCTACTCTAGCAGTTCTTTTTTGCTGTTAAATGCTCAAAAGTAGCAAAAGGACGATGGATGGTAAACAGCACTCCTTGACTATGTTATTCCATATGGGTCAATGCTGCACTACCGACTGCTCACACAATACCTTGACATGACTTTTGCAATATAAGGCAACTGCATCTCAATGCTGTGTTCCTGTTCGTCTGTGGAGCGTGACATCATCTCAAATGAACCCGTCGCCTTGAGGTGATCATAAACTGCAATTATGAAGCAGATGACAGTGAGCAACATCAAGGAATATGCAGGAATTATCACCAATTTTTCCATCTTCTTTTCTCATGACTTTTCTCTATGTTGGAATTGGTGAAGGGCTCTACGGTCCAGTAGCTGGGGTGTGCTGTCATGATAGTAAGCATCCATATATGTTGCATAGGTGTTTGGATGTGCCTTTATCTAATTTAACAATGACTGGACACAAACCAGGTGACGTCTTAGTCATGCCATTCCCCTACAATCCTCTTCATTTCGGATAGCTCAATCACTCTCCCTCTCCATTCCCTTAACTGTCTCCCTTCCCTATACTTTTTGGCATGCACACCCTAAGCAAACCCCCTCGCTCTCGTTTTGCCATTTTTCTCACTCTCTCTTTTGCTCCCTGCTGTTTAATGACTACACTATGTGAATGGCTCAATGCATTACAGAACCTCACCCTTTCTCCCCCACATCATTTTACCCTTATCCTACCCCAATCTTCCAACTTACTTATTTACTAACTGACTTAATTACTAATTTACTTAGATAATGTAGCATCTTTCTACTTACCTTGCTGGTCAATGTTGAGATCATATATTGGAGTTTTGTAGGTAGAGCAGGATGACAGAGCACAACTAGAGAGGCGCACATGGTGTGATGGGCCAAGGATAAATACACGCTTCCTATACCAACAACAATTATTATCAAGTTATCTACTGTGCTAATTATTAAATGATAACTATCTTGTGAATTTATCACAGAAAGAAAAATCGTACTTAAAGAAAATCCCAAACTAGAGCCCAACAACCTTTATCACTAGTATCAGCATATATTTAGTAGAATTCTGAGACTTCACCAGCCCTTAATACCTGCTTACAACACTTGACAACCACGATCACAACTGACAGTGAATCAGTGACAACAACACACTTATACTAATGTGGCACACTCTACAATGCTATAGAGCTGTAACACATCGCTACACTAGCAATCTTTACCATCCTCATTGAGATATAGTTATTGGTACTTACACACTGACTGGGTCAACCTGTCTGTAAGCAAAGGCAGAACATGCCCCACAGTATGTATAACCAGCGTGCCTGCAACAACCAAATGCACGATAAAAAAATGTGGTAGCAGAAGATTATTATTAAGAATAAATTAAGACTTGTCAATCTACTTCTGCTAATATGGTATTCAAAGACCTCAAGATAAATAGCTATACACCTTAGCTACTATGGTTAAAGAAATAAAACACAATAATACTGGTGATCGCCATTACAAGGTTTAGTACATTAATCATTACATGGGTCCCCACTGCGTACTTACGGAGCTATAATAGCTCGGGCAGGGGAATGTGGTCCTGACGCCTTGTCCAGCCACTTCTGTAGTTGTTGTTCAAGTTCTCGAGCTGAAGATACAGAAACCGCATAGCTGTCAACGTTGCATCATCACCAAATCCTCCATCAGATAGAAACTTTGCTCCACTTACTAAATAATAAATAGCTATCACAGGAATGCCCCTTAAAGTTCTTCCTGGATAATTGAGTAAGGGAGAAAGTTGCATGTAAATCACTTTATCAGTACTTATAAATTATATCTCAACATACAGCTACTAAAATACGAGCCACATATTTAATTCAATATCAATATTCTATTCATTCAAATTCTCAGGTAATAATTCACACTGCAGAGGAAAATCACAATGCAAGACAACTACTGTTATAATTTGCTACTCATATATAATCCTACACCATGTTGAGCGAGTTTATCTTTTCAGACAAAATTTGACTAAATTTTTCAAATCAGGATTTTAGCTATTTCACGGCAGTAATAATCGGTACTTACCAGAAATAAAACTTTAATTAAGTGAACGTCAACTTAAGTCATGTTATCTTCTGAAAAGAACTTACAATTGTCTGTGTACCAGGAGCCTGCATGCGTAGCTCTCCTGTTGCTCATGTCAGTATCAGTGTTCAGCACCTTGAGCTAATGTTTTCTTCCTTTACCTACAAGGTAATATATAAGTTATAACTAGAAATGGCAGTTGTCGCTAGTGATGGGAATCGGCTGGAATTTCATAATCGATTATCGGTTTCCCTTAACCGATCGATAATCGATTATAATCGGATAATCGGTTAATAATAGCATAGATTTAATTTAATCTTACTTTGTATATACAATTATACATAGCATTCAATATTATCATGTTTTATGATCATGTAGGCCTATTAACTCTGTGAAGGTTGCTGTATGTATATCAATGTCTGTTCCTATACAGTATTTAATCAATTTAAAAAGAAATGGTTTAAATGCCTTTACTAAAACATTAAAAGTTTTAAACAAACATGATCAAGACATGTTCTTTATTATAGTAAGTAAGTTGTTTGTGTTCTAATAGCTAGTGTAGGCTGTGTAGCCGAGTTAATGTCCTGCCAATGGAATATCCTCTCCAACATAATGTAACAAACAATACGGAGAGTAGAATCTCATCTACGGATAACATCTGTGGGACAGTGTCAAACCCAAACAAAGACACTGTCCAATTTGTCCATGTCTTTAAGTACACTAGTACCGCTCTGCAATCAGACAGGACCTATGTTAACAGTGATTCATGAAGGTGTCCTCTGGACTACACACTGATGCACTTCTACTTCGCTACCAATACATGTCCATGTTGCGATTTAGTAATTTAAAAAATAAAAATAAATTTTTTTTTGTATTTTTGATAATCGATTATTTGTTTTCATAATCGATTATCGAATTTGAGACTATAATCGATCGATTTTCGATTATAATCGATCATCGGGACATCACTAGTTGTCGCCAACTACATGTATCCTCTGCGATCTAGTATGAATGAAATATCTCCGTAAGGACGTACAAGGTAGGTAAGTTTACCAAGTCTGGTTGCGCTGGGTCAATTAGGGGCAGAGTTATAGAGCGGAAGGGAAAGTGTTTGCGGTGGCAGCGGCAGATAGACAGACATGAAACCATAGTATCCCCGCCGACTTCGCCGCGGGGGATACAATTATGATATCCCAGTAGCTACACGTGCCTACTTTACTATGGTTTTGACAATATTGTAATTATTATATTATGGCAGAATTTTGACAAGTTCTGCAGTGTGGCACTGCTCATCTAATGTCTGATGCTGCTCTTGCTGCTGCTTTCATTAATGCTTCTTCGCTACTGCCTTCAAGATAAATAAGGCGAGTGATCGGCGTAACAAAGCCAAGCAAGTGTGGCAAACAGACCAGGTTTGTGAACAGAATCACAAATGGACATATAAAACAAACATACTACAATGATGGGATGAAAACAATGCCATATTCTTACCATATTTGAGCAGTGGATAATGGATAAGTGTCAAAAAAGGGACATGGAAATTAACAAGCAGATTCACAGCCATGTTTGCAGAGTAGCAACCATGTCCAGAAAGTATACAAAGCAGGGCAACTAGAGCTATGTATGTGATGTATATATATATGTATATATATATATATATATATATATATATATATATATATATATATCAAGAGTACCATAATAGAAAATTGCTATTATGGTACTCTTGATATATATAATCTTATTAATTCCAGATGCTTTTGACTAGTCCCTGCACAAACAACCCCTACAGGCACATAATATGATAGACTATGCGTTGAATTATGCGTTGGTGGTATGGTGCGATTTATTGCTCACCACCTACACCAGGGGTGGGCAAACTACGGCCCGCGGGCCGCATGCGGCCC